TCTCCGAAACCAAACCAAAAGATACCGTAGGCCGCTGCCTTGCTGAACTTCTGCTTGGGGTAGTGCAAACCGTCAAGAGCTTCTGTCTCGACCTGCGCTGTCCCGTCCTGGTACTGGATGAGGGCACCGCGGTGGCTGTAGTTGATGTCTCGTGGTAGCCGTCGTTGTACTGGGCATCTGGTGATCTGGATCCTGATGATCTTCCAAGGGACCAAAAGGCAGATCTGCTGGTAGAGCGGGTCGTCATCTGGCAAGGTCAGCGACTTCATCGGGGTCGCGTTGAAAACCCGGACTACCTTTTCCAGAGCGTCGCTCCACGACTCTGGGTCCCGAACAGGCTCTTGGTGGAATACCTGCTTGGGCACCAGGAACCGAGTTGGCGTCCTTCGCTGTGCCTCCTGCTTGATGGCCCGGAGGATTGCCTTCACGAGGTTGGCGGGGTAGACAGCGCTCTGTCGTACGTCTGCTCCCTGAAGTGGTGTGCAGTACTGGAGCTGTGTTTCATCCAGCTTCCGTGAGACTGCATCCGCGATGTCCCGGCTGTTGGTCATCCACTGGAAGGTCTTCTTGATCATGAGGCCTTGGCTGTTGACGCCGCCGTAGGCGCCCGAGTGGCCTTGCACGATGAAGACGTCATCGCGGGCTGCGAGCTCTTGCATCCGGGGAAGCCCCCAGATTCTAGATCTGGCTGGGTTCTCCAGCAGGAAGTAGTTGCCCATCTCGATCTGGTCGAAGGCACCGTCGATGGCGAAGTCGACGAGTGGCTCTTGTTGTTGCCGTAGTCGCTGGAGGTCATCCAACCTGTGTTTGCCGCGGTAGTTGAGGTTCTCGTTGAAGATGCTCCAGTGGGTGCATTCCATCGCAGCGATCAGCGTGAGTGGCCTCAGTCTCCACTGTGTCTCTCGCCACTGTCTGCGCTGAGCCGGGTCCAACATGTCCTGACCGTAGAGAAGGTCCACGGGCTGGCATGCCTTGAGGTCGTATTGGTGGGCTCGGTAGCTGATCTCTGCCTGGCCAGCGTAGAGCTCCATGATGTCGACGCGGCTGGCGTTGATCTGCGGTGGTAGCTTATCGTAGACTTGCGTCTCGATCTTGTAAACCTGTGCTGCTTGCCGTAGTCGTCCGGTCAGCCTTCGACATACGCCCAATCGTAGTCGACGCTGTTCTCCGAGTCTGTCGGGATCTCGGATGCTTCCCTTGACATCCTGATGTCGTTGGTGGCCAGACTGATCAGACCCCAGTGATCCGGGTGTTCTGCTTTTGGCCTGGTGGTCGGCTTGGCCGCGGTCTTGACCTTCGCCGCGGGCTTGGCCTTGGATCGGCTCCCAGCCGCCGATGTCGTAGTGCGGGATGTCGGAGGAGCTGTCGGCGCCAAAGGTGGTCGGGTTGATGTTGGCGCCGCCCACGAACTGTCCAAGACAGTTACTGAGGAAGGCAGTGGCAACCGTGAGGAACGCGATGCCGCGACGAAGTGTTCCCATCCGTTCATATCCTGGTTCCATTTCCACTTCCGGCCGCACTGCATGCAAGCGGCGTAGCTGCCGTGCCGATTCCCCGATCTCTTGATGTGTTGATGTGTGCAGCTGCCCGTGGTGGTGTCCTGGGGGTAGCCGCTCTCCGGGAGATAGGCGATCGTGCCGATGGGCTCGGCGGTCTCCAGGTTCGGACTTGCCGTGGGAACAGGCGTCGGAGAAGTGCTCGATGCCGGAAGGCTGTGTCCACGAAGGAACTTCACGGCCTGTCGTCTCCACACCATCGCCCTCTTGATAAGATGTCTCCACCGCCAGAGCCATACTGGTGGTGGCTGGGGCTGTCGGGGCATGGGCGAGACTCGAATTGATGGGTTCACTGAGGCCAGGGGGCTGAGCGGCCATGTGAGCCTGATGCTGCAGTGAATAAACTTCACCGCTAACGTATCCTGACACAACATCATGCTGGTACTGACCATGCTGGTCCCGAAGTTGCTTGGTGCATCGGGGTTGCTGCCCAAACTCGGAAATCTGAACCGCAATGTGGCCGTTCATGATGCAAAGGGGGACCGTAACATTGATCTTGGTGAACTGGGCGGTCATGTTGGTCAGATCAATGATGGTGCCCAGGGATGCCATCAATGGCCTACTTGCCAGCAAAGGAATCTTGGATGGCAGAATGCAGGTTCCAATGAGGCACATGTGGTTGTCCAGCAGTGATGGGAGGTACATGAGGGTGTCCGACACGATCGGCTGGCCCGACCCGAACTCAAACGTCTCGTGCCTTGTGATCTCGATGGGAGCGAGGCCGAACTGCTTGAGCTTGGTCCTTTGCGCGTTGGCCCAGGCGATTCCAGCACATGTGCGTTGGCAGGCTGTGTCCAAGATCATGTACCCGGCAAGTTTGCTGGTATCCGTCAAGAACACGTCAAACTTTGATGGCGTGGTGTAAACCATGAAGGTCTGGTGGGACGTGAAGGGGCCTTGGGGTTCACCGTCATCTTCATCTTCTGCTTGATACCCAAAATGGTGATCCACAAAATGCACGGTGTGCGCAGCCTTCGCGTCATCTTTAAAGCTGCGCGCAGGCCTCTTGCCTTTGGACTGATTTCCGTCCGATGGCTTGCCTCCCTTGGGGCCTCCTTTGGAGCCAGCGGAGGTCTTGCAAACCGCGTCTCCTTGCCAATGACCTTGCTCACCACAGGACGCACAGTGTGACGTCCTCTTGCGCTCCTCAATGGAGCGGCTGCCATTCTTGAAGCCGCGTGCTTTGACGATTGAGCTGAGGCGCTTCGCTGTCACGGTGAGGACCTCGGCGATGTCCGGATCCGTTTCGTCGCCAAAATCGTCCTGATCCTGGTCTGCTTCCGCCTCGGCCTGCTCTGGCTCATCAAAAACCTCTGCCTCGGCCTGTAGGTCAAAGGTCTCGTCGTGGTCCTGCTCCTGGTAGTCCTGCAAGTAGGGCTGTTCCTCGGCGATCGTCGCATTGGTCACCCAGGTCTGGTTGTTGTTGTGATTGCCCTTGTAACCGGGGCGCTCCTTGGAGTGGTACCCCTTGTCGCTGGACTTGCCCTTGTGGTTGCCCTTGAAGTAGTGTCCCTTGCTGCCTCCGGATCCTTTCCCGGCATGATGCGGTGGGCGATCTGAACCGTAGACAGGAGCTGGAGCACGGTGTTCTGGGTACTGGAACAGCAGAACGTCCTTGACCTTGTCGAAGTCCAGGCTCTGAGGAGTGCCGATGAGCACGTTACGTTGGGCATCCAGGGGCAGCTTGCTCCGGTCGAGCAACCTGCTGCCTCTGGCCTCAGCGTCGTACATGGCGGTGACCCTGATGTTGATGGCTTCCAGGGCTCGCTCCACCCGTCGGTACCTGTTGGTGTAGGACCTCATCGACTCCTGGGGGAAGCGGGCGACATGCTCGTAGTCGTGAAGCAGCTTTCGCTTGACGTGGACTGTCCTGGCCTCAACGGCCTGTCGGATGACGGACATGATGTTCTGAACTCCCTCCGGGTGGAAGATGTCATCGACGCTCATGTGCTCGAGCTCCTCCTCCAACTCGCCCCGCAGAGAGCTGAACAGCAAGATTCCGGCCTCCTTCCGAGGCACGTAGCTGCACACCTGGAGCATCCAGATGTCGACCTTCCGCTTCCATTTGCTGAACGCGTTGATGTCGTTCTTGTCATAGTGCCAGGAAGGTGGGACAGGGGGTTGTCCGCCGCGGTACTTGATGCCAGGCACTGGTCCTTTCAGTGAGTTCCAGTCGTCGGTGGAGTGTTTGCGGCTAATGCCCGAAGAAGCTGCTGCTGCCGCTAGCGTAGGTAGGGCTTGGTCTTGCTGATGCTGTCGTTCAAGAGGTGGGTCAGGTTGTCCTTTGCCTCGCCGTCGTCGGCGCGATCGGCGTGTAGCTATCGGTTGGTTGGTATCCGGGTCGATGATGATGTCCTCTGTGATGGCTTCACTCTCTCCACGCTCACCCTCGTTCTGGCTCGCCTCAGGATCACCAGGGCCGGGGTGTTGGTGAAGGTTCTGCGGATTGCCCTTGCCGGTGACTGGTGGTCCTTGAGGTTGGGGCTGTCCATGTGGCATGTAGACCCAAGTACCCTCGGGCACCGCCCGGCGAGTGGGCTGGTTCACGTTGTAGAACTCGGGGAAGTCGCAGATGGTGCACCGCCAGGTGCCTTTACAGGCGACAAAGGAAGGTGAGTGGCACGACAAGCACCGCCACCCGTCATCTCTGTCCAGCCTGAAGGCTTGCGTCTGGTCGATGCCCTTACCGCGAGGTGGATTGGGCTCAGGCTGCATGAAGTCCGGCTGGCCACCAAGGTTGTCCGCATGGGCGTAGACAAAGTCCTCGAAGTGGCGCTGCCGTGGCCTGGGAGGGCTGCCCTGACCAGAGAGCTGAGAGCGGCTCTCGGTCGAAAGCGAAGGGCCCCATCCATGGCCAGCTGCGGCGTGCCGTGGGTCACCATCTGGAGGATCACCAGAGTAACCGCTACCAGCGCTGCGACGCAGCGAGTCCTCCATGGCGGCCCTGATCGGGGCTGCACAGGCAGTGCTCCGCTACCAACTGGGCTAATCCCGTGTGCCGCCTACGGGAAGCCTATTTTCCTCACTCAGCTGAAGAAAGTCTGAGGCTCATGCGCGCTGCGGAGTGCAACGCATCTCAATGCAGAATGCAGTGTGGTTTTCACAGCAACCACGTAAGCAAGCAAGCAAGCAAGCAAGCAAGCAAGCAAGCAAGCAAGCAAGCAAGCAAGCAAGCAAGCAAGCAAGCAAGCAAGCAAGCAAGCAAGCAAGCAAGCAAGCAAGCAAGCAAGCAAGCAAGCAAGCAAGCAAGCAAGCAAGCAAGCAAGCAAGCAAGCAAGCAAGCAAGCAAGCAAGCAAGCAAGCAAGCAAGCAAGCAAGCAAGCAAGCAAGCAAGCAAGCAACCCACCAACCCACCAACCAACCAACCAGCCGACTTCCCCCCAATCAACCCGTTTCCCCCCATGCCATGCCCCCCATGCACCGCTTCCACCCGGGATGGCGCGCCTCCGCGAAGCCGTAGCCGGGCAGGTCCACCAGGCACAGCTGGGCCGGGCGCCCCACCTTCCAGAAGACCAGCTCCGTAGTACTGCCCGGGATCCTATGGCCACAAAAACTGGACGAATCTTATGGAGATCCCATGGAATTCCCGTGGAAACCACTCCAAACCACCGGACACCCACTGGGAGGTTTCGTTTCGCCCCATCCCAGTGAGGTACGAAGCCTTGAAACATCTCTGGGATGGGTTGCTGAGCCAAAGCGATGACTTCACACAAGGAAGGTTTTCAATCGGAGGCTGGGGCACCCTAGCCTCGCTGTGTCCAACCTCTAAAACGGAGCAAGCTTGTCGAAGCTTCTAAACTTCCCTTGTCGTCCGTCCAGAATTGGGACAAAGGTCTCCAAAGGAAAAGAAGGTCCTGCTCCTCCAATGGTCCCCCGTTTATGCTCAACACTTGAACTCAGCATTTTACCCTGGGCTCACAGCCTCTGTTTGCTAGTTTCCCCGACCCGCCGCAAGCAACAGCGTGGTGTTTCAAGCGGGACAAACAAGCGGCGCGTCCTCCGCACATTGGCGCTGTGCCGGCCACACAAGTAGTTCCTCACGTGTCCACTACGTCACACGCATGCAGCCAACAGAAGCATGGTGCCTATAAAACCAAGACAAAGCAAACACCTAAAGGCAAACAGCCACACAAGTACAGCAAGGGTAAACACTTGACTGTCCAACAGCAGGCCAAAGCTGGAAAACCAGTTGGCAATTGGTCTCGGCAGCCCCCAGCTTGTTTTGACACGTTCCAACTCTGCGCATGTCACCGCAGGGGGGTCACTCTTGACCCAAGGGGTCAGCGGTCTGGTCTGTTCGACAGATCCCCGGCTCCGGTACATCGCCAACTTGAGGCGAGGCTCACCAGCGTTGACTTCCCGCCTCACTTGCCCAGCCGCTGGAAAACCGGCAAGTTGTTTTGCTGGCTGTTTGTACAGGGAATCCTGGCAAGCAAAGGCAAGTCCACCAAAACGGGCGACTTCCTCAAACCAGCTTTCCACAAACAGGCCAACACACTTCCCAACCCCCAAACCGGAAAAACAGAAAACAAAGAAAACACCAAAATCGGTGAACAACGGAAAGATGCCACAGGTTGAACCTGGGGCGCTGTTGGAGCGGCCACACACCGCCACCTCCGGCAGGCGCGCCACTGGCAGCTGCGACTCGTGCAGTGCCGCCGTCCAAAGCTTCATTTGGGGCTTGATTTGGCCTAAGCGCCATACCCAGAACAGACCCCTTGTAACGACCGATGCCACATGCCATCTGAATTTGGTGAATCTGTGAAAATTGAGGTGAAACATCAGGCCGCTTTGTGGTGGCTTGAAGACAAACCCGCCAAGCTGAAGTAAGGGGCCCTACTGCGGAAGGACGAAATCCGATTCGCACCACCTAGGAAACCCGAGAATAATGATTCCCCTGTAAAGACCAACGAACAAGGTTTCTCATGGTTTCAGAGTGGTGCAGGATTTCGTCCATCCACAGTATGAAAGAAATATTCCGAGAAGTTACAAAGCAACTTTCTCCGGGTCCCTCCAATCTGCCCATGCAAACTCAAAAGGGAAGTTACCCAAATCAATCACAAACCGAGGATCGAAGAAAGGGCCGCCACTAGGGCTGGGCGATCTTGGGCTCAACCACCCGGGATTTCTTCCGGTGCAACCTATTCATTGAGCGGAATGAGAAACCCGCTGGAAATTCATAAGTTGGATCCCCAACAGGGAACCATCCGAAAACAATTTCTGAGCTGCCTCCAAGTCAGCCCCTGTCAGAACCCATCTTTTAGCCGGATGCAACTAGCGGATCTCAAGCCACAAGACGGCACTGGACTGGGTCGAACACAACTTGAGGCGAGAGATGCGGGGAGTGAGTTGGAATGACCCTTCTAAACCATCCAGGGAATCCCCAGGTCATTCCATTTCTCATTCCTATCGCACCAGCAAGACATTCTTTTGCCTATTCCGCTCCCGACCCAGGAAAGTCCAACTTGACCTGCTCTAAGATTACCGCAAGACTAGCCCTCCTCACGCCACACCTTACTCTTGAACATGTTTCAACAGGAAGCTTGCTCAATCAAACTGCAAAGCAAATGAAGTGCACAAAAAGATACATGCCGGCAAAACCGACCGCACCAACACCATCCCCAATGCAAACACGCAAGCACATGAATGCGCATCACCTGCAATACAAAAGCCACATGCATGGCACGCGTGGTGTTCAACATAACATGCCCATTCATCCTATTCATGTCATGATCAAATGCTCGCCACTGTGCCCTCCCCAAACAAAGACGTGCCCCATTCCCTGGGTATTCTGCGTCGTTCGAAGGGAGACATGTATTAAACCGCCCCCCATCGAGTGGTACAGCCCTCCAGTCTTCGCGTGTAGACATTCGCCAAGTGGCCCAGGAAGCTGGGGGCGTAGCGGTTGTACCGCAGGTCGTACCAAAGGCGCTTGCGGTCCTCTTGCGTCTGCACCCGCGCCACCTTCAGGAGGTTTGCGATGTGCTTTTGTGAAAGATGTTGTTGGAAAGAACATGCCAGTGCTGTTTCATGGTGACATTTTCGCAGGTTTTCATTTATTGGAACACACGAGCATTGACAGGGAACCTCACTCCAGTCTTGTGGAAAACCCCGATCCACTAAATAGGGCTAGGGTAGATGCTGTGTTAGTTGGCGGGAGGGGACATGGTGCCGTGTTTTGAGGAGAGCTTAATGACCCCCTGCCTTGGTCTCGAAAATGTACCGCAAGGTGTCCACTGCGGGCCTGGCCGATCGACTCACTGAACGACACGAGTATTTTCCTGTTTGTGACGAGCACACTTCCTTGCTCTGCTTCGCGTACAGTTCATCCTCCTATTTCCCATCGGCCTGGCAGATTTCTCTCGCAGCCGCTGGACCTTCGCCGGGTGGGTGCTCGAGTCGGCCATGGCCTTAAACAGCGCGCGGCGCCTCCGGCGCACGATGGAACTTGTCCACCGCGAGCCCAGAGACAGGGGAACCTCCTGCAGCAAGCGAGCCCTGCACAAGGCAAACATGCTGCGAAAAAAGGGAGCCGCGGAAAGGGAAAGCTGCGCAATTGCGATCTGCCTGTTTGGTCTGTGGGCCGCATGGGCCAAACAGCTGCAACATTTTGAAGTGTCTGTGAGCTTTGGCCTTGAATCCTTTGTGAACTCATGTGCAAGATGGTTCGATCATCTCGTACTGCGGGTTTTTGTCCCCTCGGCTGCATGTGTTCCTCGTGCTGATGCCAATTTCTGTGAGCTGGGCACAAAAATGCAGCGGAATGACGTGTGCTCCCTGACTCCCAAATTCCCCACCACCCCTCCCCAAGCATTGCACGGCCGCCATGGCTTCAGAACTGCCTCTTCACTGATGGCCGCGGAAAATTAACATTTCCGGGATCCCGACACGGGCCATCTGCATAACTGCTTCTTCACCTTCAAGGGACGCACATAGTACAACAAGTAGCCCGTAAAACCCGATGATGATTACACTGCCGGTCTTCAGCCGCTGCATTGCCTGGCTGCCGCCCGCTGCTCGTCACTTTTTCTCCATTGGGGCGCGGCGGGTCAAAATCTCCTCATGATCGTGCTGGTCCTGGTCTGTACCGTGCAGTTGCGCGAGCTCACTTTGACATCGCCTGGTCAAGGGAAAATCGAATGAAACAAAGTCTCTAGAGCTGACAATGCCACTGGCCTTATAAGCGAAGAGGAACGTGACAGCCTCGGATTGCCGACTTGAGTCACGGTCGGCACTTTTGCTGCACAATGCTTCCAACACAGCTTGGCCCCCTGACGTAGAACGCAGCAGCCATGTAGCAACCTTGTCCTGCTGCAGCTTTGTTGTCCTTCAGCGCCGAAGCATTCAATAGGAATGCTAGAAAAGTCGGGGAAAGGATGAGCTTCAAGCCGCTGCAAGGGGTAAACAAGCGCATGTTTGGTGCCACTGGTTTGTGGCTGGGAGCCGGGTGGGATCAGCCATCTGCGCACAAGGAGAGGCATCGTCCACATCATGAGCCGCCGGGGTCCTCCGGGATTTCTACCATTGGAGACCTCAAGCAACTGACGCTCTTGGCATCTGCCAAACATGCATGTCTGACGGTCGGCCCCACGAATGCATAAGCCGGAAGTCACTTTACAGGAACAAAGGGAGATTGCTCAATCACCTGTATCGCGGGCTACTCAGTCATTGCGGAACAAATGACACTACATGAAATCCCTCGATGGGACCATCCCCATTTACATGTTCAAAGGGCTACAACCTCAAACAAACAAACAAGCAACCAAACGAAGACACCAGCCAACCAACCAACAAAAACGGCACAAAGAAGAGCTCAGGCTGCCTTCGCAAACAGAATGTTCGAGTCTTCTCAAAATGGTTAGTATACCTTCGCTCCTGTTTAATGATGGGGTACATTCTCTGACATGCCCCAACTGGTCCTCTTGCTTTGCCTTGTCTGCGTTGATCTTGGACCCTGCAAAAGATTGATCTGTTTGCTAGACATGTGGGAATCATTCGGTTTTCAAGAAGCTAAAAGGCGTGAAAGACCGAGCTGTTACTGTAAGATGCTCACTGGGCCCCTGGCTTCATGGAGCAAAGGTAGCCCAAGAACAGCAGCACCGGCACTGCCACGGCGGACAAGATGGTCTGGCAGAGCGCAGCACGTCGGCCCAACGTTCTCAAATTAGTTGTCCCTCAAATGGTTGGCTTCCAATCTGTTCCCACTTCAAGACCAAATCAAAGGGAGTCCACCATTTTGAGAAACCCTCATTTGTGATGATGATGATGATGATGATGATGATGATGAGCCTTGGTACTGTATCGTGTTATTGTTTGGTCACACGCGTGAGCAACACTAAACATTCTGCAGAGGTAGGTTGGACCCGCCCTTTGCACATCTTAGCACTTGGTCGTCTGCTATACTTGGTTGCTGTTGACCCCCCTACAAAAAGTGTTTCACTTTTTGGGGGGTTTAGTAGAAAACACCTTTGTTTCCCAAAAGGTTAAAGTCTAAAGATCTAACCCAATAGCAGCCAAGTATAGTTCTTGGGTTTCTGTGGTTCCGGCGCAAAAGATCGCGCAGCCGCCCGCCATGGCGCCTGTGGCATGGAGGCATGGAGCATCGATTCTGCGGTTTTTTGGGCGAATCAAGCGTGCACCAAGAAGCATTCGCAAAAAAAAAATGCTAATGGGTCCAGGGTTGATTGGTTTAGAGTGGCTTTTGGGGGACTTGATTTAGGGTGGTCGTAGGGTGGAATTATGTCGCATTGGTTGGTTTGAGCTTGTTCAGAGTTGGGCGGGGCCAGTGAAGCTGTCTGACAAGACTTCACAATCAGGCAATTGCATCAAACTCGCAAGATCCCAAGGTCGACATTCTGGCTTCTCAGGTCACATATGATACGTCGCGCGCTGCAAACCAGAATCCTACAATCCGAACAATCACCCTGCTTTAAATAAGAACATAATAGCAACCTCTCTCGTCCACCACAAAACTAGGCATTGGCAATCTCCATGGACTTTTCCGGGGAACACCCTCCAACATAGCTGGTGGACATAAACCCATGTGAATGATGTCAACCAAGGTGTCCCCAGTAAAAGTCCCTCCCCATCAGAAGACATTGCCGAGGGTCCCTTCCTGTTCCTAAAACGAGGACAAGGTATTGTACCCCCTGAACATGCCAACTGATTCATACGCAAAGTTGCCAACCAAAAGGATGCTGGCATCCCTCAAGTGTAGGGGGTCTCCTTCTATGACCGCGGTGGCATTGGCGCCTTCGTTCCCAAACAGATCCAAACAGTTGAGTTCTAATTCTTCACAAGCCTGACAGCTGGGCACAAATGGCGAGAACCGAGCCCACGGCAGGAAGCTAAACGTGCAGCACGGAGGAGCGAACTTCAAGGAAGGGCCGAAACGGCCGAAACGTGAGGCAAACGGGGCGGAGGAGTTCATCGGGGGGGGGGCTTGAAGTTGGGGCAGGGGAGCGGGTTCTGATTGGTTCTGAGCAAAGGATGGAGGGGTCGTTGTTGCCGTGACTCAGGACAACTGTGGGTTCAATCAGCGCTTTCGCGTCTGGTCCCTTTCTCTCTTGTTTGTTTACTCTTTGTCTGCATCAGCACGCGAGCCCCGCAGGCAGCAGCTTTTCAAAAACCAGCCATTTCCCCGCGGTTTTTGGGTGGTTGTCTAGAAAGAAGGATCCCTGGAAAGAATGGGGAAGTTACCCCTAGATGAATACTAGGCTCCTGGTGCTGCGACCATTTGTTGAAGGAATATAATGCCAAAGAATCCTGGCCAAAAAGGAGCCTCTGAGAAAACATGGAGACGCGTGATTGAGGAGTCAGGCGGCATTACCACAAGTTGGCGCTGCAGACCCGTAGACAGCCACCATGAGCAGCCAACTGCAGAAGCTTCTGATCTAGAAGGCATGCAAACTTAAAACAAAGCTGACACCCACACCCCCACACACAAACACACACAAACACACACAAACACACACAAACACACACAAACACACACACACAAACACACACAAACACAAACAAACACACACAAACACACACACACACAAACACACACAAACACAAACACAAACACACAAACACACACAAACACAAACAAACACACACAAACACACACACAAACACACACAAACACAAACACAAACACAAACACAAACACAAACACAAACACAAACACACACACACACACAAACACACACACACACACACACACACACACACACACACACACACACACACACACACACACACACACACACACACACACACACACACACACACACACACACACACACACACACACACACACACACACACACACACACCACACACACACACACACACACACACGCACGCACGCACGCACGCACGCACGCACGCACGCACGCACGCACGCACGCACGCACGCACGCACGCACGCACGCACGCACGCACGCACGCACGCACGCACGCACGCACGCACGCACGCACGCACGCACGCACGCACGCACGCACGCACGCACGCACGCACGCACGCACGCAGCACGCACGCACGCACGCACGCACGCACGCACGCACGCACGCACGCACGCACGCACGCACGCACGCACGCACGCACGCACGCACGCACGCACGCACGCACGCACGCACGCACGCACGCACGCACGCACGCACGCACGCACGCACGCACGCACGCACGCACGCACGCACGCACGCACGCACGCACGCACGCACGCACGCACGCACGCACGCACGCACGCACGCACGCACGCACGCACGCACGCACAGGCACACAAAGGCACACAAAGGCACACAAAGGCACACAAAGGCACACAAAGGCACACAAAGGCACACAAAGGCACACATTGATACACACACACACACCGAGGCACACACACACACACAGGGGCACACACACAGACACAAACACAAACAAAGGCACACACAGGGCAACACACACACACACACACACACAAACACACCTACAGCCACACCCACACGCACACAAACAAGCAAACAAACAAACAAACAAACACACACACACACTCACACAGAGATTCACATGTGGCCCACATGTTGCCCCCGGAACGGAAATGATGAGTGGCCTCTTTGGGGATGTAAATGAGGATGGGTGCCAAGGCGAGATTCGCAAGGGCCCCTTTGTGAGAGTACCCCGCAAAAACGGAGCTCCTCCGTCGGAGTTTCACCCCTGCTGTAACGGACCCCTAGAAGAGCTCTGGAAAAGGCCTTGCGTATACCCTGAAGATGGCTTTGGCCTTGAGCGTTCAGCATTTGGATGGGACGAGAAGTTGCCTGCCTGAGCTTACCTTGCATTGAACAATCGATTCTCGTCTATGTCATAAGCATCGCTTTTTGTGCCGCGGTGCGGGCGGCAGGCTATCCAAGCTGTGATCAAGGAGCCTACTAATGATATTGACAGACTGATAGCAAATAAAGACTAGCCCCACGGCGACTCCCTAACCTAAATGCAATTCTGCAGGCTTCATTTCAAGCAAGGATTGAGCCTGGGTAGCTGTATGTAGCTGCCGAAGGCTCAGGCAGTGGC